CAATAAATATAAGCAACACATTATTCAATGCTTTTTATTTTTGCATTTACTTCTAGATTTATATATTAAGTTGCTCAAGCAAGTGTCAAAACATTTAAACTACTTTTCTTACGTTATCACAAACTTACCATTGACAGAAATAGTCAGCTCTACTGCCTTTCCTTTTGCATTTAAATATTTTTTTACAAGCAATCCTGCGGTTCATAAAGAACTTTGTTTTCCTACCTCCACGAGTGCCATCTATTATTGCCTTGTTTATCTAAAAGTGCTCTTTCCCTTTAAACCTAGCCAAAAAGCCACAGCCTGTGTTGACTGTGAAACACAGTAGACTTTAATAATATGCATTTAAGGTGTAATTACTATATTTTCGTGTCAATCCATGTTCATATTTACTGTAACAATGTGCTGTTACTTTAATTACTTTAATAATATTACTTTAATGAGTACCTCACCTTCAGCATTATAATTATTTTACCCACGCCAGACAGAGACTGAGACGGTGACGCTGCATGTCGTACCAAACCTCTCACGGCAGCGTCATCAGCTTGAGATCGGTTTTTTGAGATCGGCCTTTTTAGAGACCGCTGATCAATCATCCCAAAGCGATTATCGGCCGATAGTGATCGGTAGTCGATCAATCGGAGCACCCCTAGTTTGTTGTTTTCTCATTGTTTTGAAAAATACTTTGTTTAAATTTAAACAGAATATATAATATATAAGAATATATAATTTGCAAAGACAACAAGGCATTTGAAATTAACTTCCCTGGTATAGGGCAAGTGAAGCTAATAAATCCACATCCTATATAAGTTCACTTGTTCTTTTATTTTGAAATATATTTTTAAAAAGACAACGCATTAAAAGAAATTTAGGGTGCTCCTGATTTTTCGAGCCGATCACTGATCGCCGATCACAGGAAACAGTATCTGCCGATACGATTACCGATACCGATCTTTTTGAAGCCTTATTTTTATCATGTAGAATTATTTATAGGGGTGGAGGGGAGGCATTTTTTAGACATTTTTCAAAAATATATAATTATCTCACCTAAATGTTTGACCATGCAGTGCATTTTTGTTTTTACAATGGGGCAATTGTTGCACAACAGCTTACACACAGCACAGGCCTAATTTCGTGAGCTGTATGTGAGGCGGCCTTATGTGTGTGCACTTTAAGTGCGCATGAGTGCACATCTCTAGAAGAGTGTGCGAGTGCTGAATGGTTTAAAGGGGTGGTTGATTATGATTTCTCTTTTTTAACTTTAGTTAGTGTATAATGTTGCTGTTAGAGCATAAACAATGTCTGCAAAGTTACGACGCTCAAAGTTCAATGCAAAAGGAGATATTTTCTTTTAAAGAAATCACTGTTTAAGGACTACAAAAAAAGGCTGGTAGGGACTACAACAAGCTTCTTCCCTGGTTTGTGACATCACTAACCCCGATGTTTACATAAACCCTGCCACCGGGAACATGCAGCTACCCATAATGGTAAGGGGGCGTGACATTTCCGGACAACGTGCACTAGGCAGTCAACACACTGGGCCAGCTATAACCAATCTGGGCCCGATTGCATATTTCTGAGGGAGGGGCTTCATAGAATCAAAAACTCAGCAGACCATTTTGACGACATTGGAAACAGCGGTGTAGAATAAAGGTAAAATAGTTTTAAAAAATTGCATTATTTTCACATAAGCATGAACGCATTACACTGCCCCCCATAAACAAAATAAAACTTTTGAAAAAAAGCTGATAAACCACCCCTTTAAACACTGGCAACACCTAAAAAGAAATGCTAATTATAATCTTTAATGACGATGTGACACCGCCTCGATTGTGCAAGTGACAATTCCTGTGTCAACTGTGCAGAGTACAGCTCGCTATAGTGCAGACACGATGTGGTGATTTGAAGCCATTCGCACATTTTGAGAAGGAAAGATAGGGAAAGTGATTCACTCACGCTGTTTGTAAAATTACGTCTCTCAGAAAGTTTTCAAATTACTTTAAGGAAGTTATTTAATGAAGAAATATGAATTGTACCTCACACCTAGGGTTGGGTACCTATGTAACCGGTATGTACTAGAACCGAATCAGAACGCAGATTTCGGTGCCTCATTTCGGTGCCACTTAAATGCCGGAGCGATTGATTGAAATATTTGTCCTGGTTCTCCGAAATGGACATAAGAAGCATGGGCGTGGCTAGGCCATTTTTAGCGGGGCTATAGCGATTAGCTCCATAAACTGTACACAAATTCATGATCGCCTCAGAGTCAGTCCTCTTTAAATTTCACATGAAAACGGCGGCAGACTTTTCGTCTCCTCCCCGTCATTCAGCGCGCTTTTCAATTCCGCAGACCACGGCGTCGCAGCGCGAGCGGACTCAAACAGAGGACACAAGGTGTGTGTTTATCGATAGATTGTTATAATATCTGTATCTGTGCAGTTCTTTGTCATAAATACAGTTTACAAAAGAAAAAGGCTGGTAGGGACTACAACAAGCTTCTTC